ATGAGGAGAGAGTGGATGGCTCTGAGATTGCGGAAGGAAAGATTTAGAAGCTGCCAAGCTTGAGTGCAAAGGTGTTTAATTGCAAGGTGTTTCTGGCTGAGTGATGTCCCCGGGCTCAAAGAATCTGTTGGGCAAGAGCATAGAAGAGGTTTTGTTTTCCAGGCTCAGAACCTGCCCCAGCTCTCAGAACAGGGCTGATAAGTGCTCTCTGCTGATTGGCTGAGAGAGGCCATCTGTCTTTTCCTCTCCACTTAGTCCAGCCCCAGGAAAGGGAAGGGCCCCAGCCCCGCTCTCCATGGCTGTCTGCCCTTTCACATCCACAGCCAGGTGCTCAGTCCAGCTGTGTGGGAGCTCAGTGGTCAGATGGGTCATAAGGAACCTGTTACTAACATTCGGTACCAACACTTGGGAGGGCTTTGCTTAAAAAAAAAAAAAGGTGCGTTTCAGTTTTCACCATAAAATCACTGCCATACCCTCTCCCATGCAGGTGTGCTTTCCTCGGTGGGAGAGGAAGGGGTTGGGTGGGGGCACAGCCGTGGCTGCACAAGCCCACGCTGTACTGTGGATGTGAAGCAGCAGGGGATCCGAGCCATTTGAGGTGCCAGGAGTAGGGCCAGGGGCCTGGGTCTTTGCAGGGACTCACCTGCATCTGAGACCCACTGGTAACTTGGTTTCCTAACTCCCAAGTCCACCTGGTAAATGCCCACACAAATCCCTAAAGGTCAGCCCTGAGGTCGCCACCTCTGTGCAGCTTCCCCTTCTACTCCAGGCAGCCTCATGTCCTGCAGCCCTTACGTGCCCCTCTAGGGTGTTGCCACCGTGACTGCGCAGCCCACGACTTTCACTGTGTCCCTGATTTCAGGTACTTTGTTATGTTGGTCCCAGAAGTTCTCAGAACGTTCTGGAAATTTTGACCTTGATGGATGCTTTCTCTCAGATCCTTTGTCAGACCTGATGTGCCAACTTTATAGGGTAGACTGGTGGGTATTGGATATGTCCCAGTGTATTCATGCCTCTGCCACCTCCCCCAGATTGAGTTCCTGCTCCCCTAGTCCAGCTCTGTGATCAGCACAGAGAAGGGGCTCTGCCATTGCTGGCTGTCCCGTGGAACAGAATATCACGCATGCCTGGCTGCACTGAGTTTCCACAACAAACTGTGATATTATAACTCTTATTCCCACTTTACAGAGGAGAAAATTGAGGCTCAGGGTTAAGTAACCTTCTCAGGAGCAAACAGCTAACAAGGGGTGGATGCAGAGCTAGGTCTTTATTCCTACACTGTATTCATCAGCTCAGGTGAAGCCACAATGTCCTGGCCCTGTGGAGTCAGAAACCAGAGATGCTTATGTGAGAGGACATCTATTCCTCACCCACTGAGGTCGGCATGACCCCCGTCAGGATGATAGTAACATTCAGCTGAGCCTTTATTTGGTGCCAAAGGGCACGTTTTACCCTCTGGGTGTTCTATCAAGATGTATCAACACGCCCTGCCCTCTCTTTGGAGCTTCTGATTTAAAACAGACACATGTACAGTTGATCATGTGACTTTAGACTGTCGATCAGCGGTAGAATGCCAGAGATAAAGAGGGATTGTTTATTTCAATCTCATTTTAAGATGAAGAGACCAAGACCAAAGGAAACTCATAGCTACCATGTATTGAAACCACATGAGACCAGTACTGTGCTAAATACACTTTTTGCACTTTCCATTTAATCCTCAGGTAGGCACGATTTCAATCTATCCCCATTGACATATGGAGAAACTGAGGCTCTGCGGGGTGGACGGACTTGCTTACTGTCCCAGAGCTAATCCGTGGAAGAGCCAAAGTTTGAGCCGGGCCAGTCTGGTCCAGAGCGTGTGTTCCTCCCCGCACCCCCAGTGGGGGGCTTTCCTCGAGGGGCTGCAGGCGGGCGCTCTGCCCCGCCCCACAGGTCTGCAGATAGTGTAGCCCTTCTTTGCAGAGGCCACCCTCCTGGATGCAGGTTCAGCCCTCCCTGGAATTAGCAAGAAGCTGCTCTTCCCAGTAGCAGTGGTTATTTTCAGAAGTGTGAAATATGTGCAAAATAGGATAGTTTCAGTAAAAATATCTCTCTGTTTATACAGTGAAGTGGTACCCACATCATGAACTTTGAGCAGATTTGTGGTTAGTTTTTGCAAAGATGAATCTAATTCTCATGTGACAGCCATTCGGGAGGTTTGCAGGGTCCTGGGTGAATGAGAGGCTGAGCTTCGAGAGCTGGGTTTCCCCTCGAGTGAGGATTCCCAGAGCATGGAGTCAGCCCTGGATTTAAAGTGAAAGGTCTGAAGCCACGTACAGCCCGAGGGTCCTAACTCATGAGCAGGTTACTTATCCTATTAGCCTATCTTCTGTAAGGAGCTGTAGCAGTTCATGATGTCATATACACGAGATTGCCCAGTGCCAGTATCTTGGTCAAGCTTCAAAACTTAAAAACAGCTCCATTCTCCCCCATAATGATATTCTGAGAATCACTATACTTTACATTTATGATGAAACCTGCATTTGAGAGTCTATGGAATCGTCACTAGAAATTCTAGACAGCACCAGACTCCAGCAAATGTGTGGGCTTTAACAGTAATCCCTCCCGTGCCCAGCCCTGCAATATGTTTCTCATACTTTCAACGTGAACACACTCTTCCTCTGGCCTGCTGCTTCTCCACTGGGCACTTACCAACGCAGTTCTGTGCCAGGCACAGCACAAGAGCTTGCAGGTGAGACACCCTACCCGCCAGCACAGAGCATCTCATGCCGAGCCCAGAAAACAGCAGGTTTGGTTCTCTCCTGTCAGAAGCCAGAGAGCACTTATTGTGTTCTGAGACTTCCCCAGTTTCTTGGTTCTACCTCAGAGCATCCATCTAAAGAATGTGGTCCCCCTTGCACCCCACCAGCTCCAGCGGCTGGATCCAAGGGCTTATATGCCCACTGGCCCAGCTTCAACTTGCTGTGGCTCTTCCCCAACTCTCAGCCTCAGCCAAGGGAAGCCTGGTGCCGGCTCTGAGGTCCCGATGGAGCAGGCTCCCGGAAGGAACTTACCCGACGGCTTGTCTGTGGAGGACGGGAGGTTGGTGAGGGTGGGCATGGTGGGCAGGGGCGGCGGCAGCACCTTCAGGTTCTGATCGCTCTGGATCTCGTTGGTGGAGAACTGGTTGATGATGCGGTTATAGGGGGACGGGGTAGACCTGGGGCGGGGTGGCAGGGGGCGGCTGGGGCACGGGTCTGGCCCTGGGCACCCGCTGGCAGTGCTCCTCGAGCTGCGCGATGATCTCGGACTGGTTGTGGGCCAGCGTGGCCAGGTGCTGGTACTTGTGCTCCAGGTCCTTGTACTTGCTGGCCAGCTGCAGCATGTCAGCCGTCTGGTTCAGGATCCGGTTCTCCAGCTGCGAGAGCTCCAGCGCGTTGTCCCGCTTGCGGATGATCTCGTGCAGGAGCTGCATGTAGAGCTGCGTGACGCGCGAGTTCATGTTGCGGCTCTCCTTGCGCAGCAGCTTCACCTCGCTCACGATGCCGCCGTCCACCTCCACCAGCTGCTGCAGCGCCTCGATCTGCCGCTTCTGCTTGAGCAGCTCGTTGTTGAGCAGCTCCAGCTCCTGCTTGTGCACGCGGTTCTCCAGGAGCACCTCGGGCTCCTTGGAGTTGACGCAGATGGCGCCCGTGACCCGCTGCTGGGGCACAATGAAGGTGTAGGTGCACTTGTCCGGCGACTCACCGGCCCGCTTGTACCTGTTCAGGTAAATGAACTCGCCTGGCGAGCCCTCCTCGGTGCCCTCCAAACCCTCCTTCTGGCCGGCAGCCGCTCCCAGGGCGGCCAGCAGTCCCAGCCACCAGCACGTCGCGCACAGCGCCCTCATGGTCCTTTGCAGAATGGTGGCTTTTCTTTGCGAACGGAGCCTATGAAAACCTGAAAGTAAACAGAGGGGCGACTCAGTAACAGCCTTGTCACTGCCAGTGGCCTGTGCCATGAATGAGCTCAGCCTTCTCCAGGCAGATCTTTCCAAAAACGCACTCCAGGAGGCAGCCCTCGGGAAGCAGCAGAAGGAGACAGGCAGGTCCAGCAGAGATAGAAAGGGAGAGGGAGGAGACGGGGCATTGGAAGGCGAGAGCCAGCTCCAGTGCCTACAGCTCCAGTGCCCATAGCCCGAGAGCCTCCTGCAGGCAGCTGGGAGCTGGGAGGGGAGGGGAGACAGAGGCAGGGCTGTCCTGTCTGCGTTCTCCTCTGCCCCACACCCCTCAGACCATTAGTCTCCCCATTCTACGTGTTCAAAACCACCTGGACTTGCCCTTTGTAACACGGATCACAGTTTTGAGGAATTAGAATCCTTTGTGATTCCATCTGCTGGGCCCTGCGTTCCATGAGGGCAGGCACTGTGTCTGAGTCAATCCTGCATCCCAAGGGTGCTGCACTAAGCGAAGTTCAGCGAATGTTTGATAAATGAATGAATTTCTAGGTATGGTATGAAAGGTGTTCAGTTTCTAGTAGACAATGCGAATATCTGGTCCCGTGGCTTTGTTCGTGTGTTAGCCAAGCTGTAAAGCCCAAACAGGAACAAACAACCGAGCTCCTTAAATCCAAATATTTGCCACAGCCAGTCACTGCACAGTCCTGATCCTTGCAATGTGATTAAACCAGGCGGGAGCAGAAAACAGACATGTGTCTCTGGAGTTGTTTCAGTTCTATTCTTGGGTCATTCATACCTTCCCCATGGAACAGCTGTGGGGTGCCAGGCAGCGTGTGGCTGCCCAGACACTGCTGGACAGAGCCTGCCCGTGCCCTCATGGGGCTTACCCATCACCACACATTC